CCCTAACCCTAATCTTAATCAAAATTTAATTTTTGTTTTGATAAAAATTATTTTGATTTATATGTTACACTGCAGCTCATAAACAAAAATTATTGTGGTGTTGAACACCACAGATGCAATATATAATTTTCGATTAAATTAATTAAATATTTATTTATTTAAAGAAAAAAAAAAATTTAAGCGATATTATATTATTAAATTAATTATTTATTTAAAGAAAAAAAAATTTAAGCAATATTATTACATTATTAAATTAATTATTTATTTAAAGAAAAAAAAAATTTAAGTGATATTATTACATTATTAAATTAATTAAATATTTATTTATTTAAAGAAAAAAAATTACAATTCAGAAAATGATTTTTTCACATTTTCTAACAAATTTTCTATTGCATTTACATTGCCAATTGCTTTAGAATCATCATTAATTATATTTTTAGTATCCTCTTCAATAAACTCATTTTCCTCAATTTTTTTTTCATACTTACCTTTAGTGCATTGATATTTTTTGTAATTTCGCCCGAAGGTATTCGAGACAAATTATGCACTTAAATTGATATTTTTCTAAACAACAGTTATAATAGCCATGCCCACATAAAAGAACTTTGCCATCATCCAAAAGTTGGCATAATCGGTATGGTTACAACGCAAATAATCACACAAGGCAGTTGTAAAAGGCTTTCTAGATGTAACAAAACCTCGTAAAAGATAATCTGTTATTTCGTAGCCTAAAGAATGTAACTTATATGTGTTAATACCATCAGAAGAATTAATGATCAAAGAGTAAGAATAGCATGTATGATATATCTTCTTAAACATGTTCAAGAGTACTATAGCACACTTTTTATAGATCGTGTGCAGTTGCTTGGAAGTATATAGATATTTAATTGAATTCACAAAATATCGCTAAAACATATTGTCTCCCCAGTGCTGAAAGATAAAATGTACCGCCTTTTGCAACTAATCTGCTTTGGAAAACTTATTTGTATACTATCGGATTATACTGTGAACAAGCTCTACAAGACAATCGCTCAAAGAAGCAAGGTAATTAGTAATTATATTGATCATTGGATGTTGAATTTCCATTCAATAAAAGATATCTGAAAAAAACATTAAAGGTGCATGCTTATAATTTCTTCGATCAAATCGAAGAAAAAGATTGCACCAGCAGCGCATACAAGCCTCTTTGTATGCCGGCCAGTTACCTTCTCTGTGATATACAGCATAAACGTCAAGAACTAAGGTGATTAAATTACTCAGACGATTGGTTAAATATAAAAACTCAAGATTTTTACAAGTACAACCAAACTTAGAAAAAACAATATCAGAAATATCAAGCCATGCCATGTGCATAATATGAAGCATTAGATCAATTCGCCATGGCTGTGGCTTCTTACCAAGTTCCTTTTTTTGCCTAAAAATACTTTTATAAACATTATTAAATAAAAACCAATTCTTCTTAAAAACGAGCTCACAACTGTTTAAGAAAATGTAAAGAGGTCTCATCATAGGCACGAATGCCATAACGAATGAAGAGATTATTTCGTTGTTGAGAAGAAGCCGATGCGCAATGGCTTTACGAATAAAAAACTGCCCAGGCCAGTCTGCAACAATTGGAATCGCATTATTGGAAAGATACTCCTGCATTGGCCTTTGGTTATACACAATTTGAAGAGCTTTTGTATAATCTTCAACACACTTCAAGCTACTTTCAACAAAGTTGAAAAGAATGGCATTCTGTATATGCCTGTCACTCTTTTTTTCTGCCAACCTATCATTATAACTGTGCAAAGTTAGTTTTTCTATAAGACTATTATCAGAACACTTATCTATATAAATTTGTCTACGATCATGATAAGAAACTTCAAGATTCTTAATAAATCATTTATCAAGATGCTTCAAAATTAGCTCATCATCAACGACCTTTGGGTTGAGTGCCCTGTTATGTGGTATCGCCAATATGGGGCACGTATTTGCAATAATTGTCACTATATGTGCTGCCCAAAATGTACTGGTAGTATCAGGCCATCGTTGAATATAAATGTTATGATAATTATCAACATTTAATATGAGAGCACTTTCACTATAACTAAAAAAGTAATATAAAAAGATAAAGAATTTAAAAAAAAACTAAATTAAAAAAAAAAACTATAGAAGCCTAACCGATTTTCAAGAACCTTTTCTACATATTCACCATGTGCCACCGAAAACTGTCTTTTTTTACGATCAACTGCCCTTGCAGTTGTGGTTATTCCAATATTGGCTAATGTATTCAGACCTTTATTATTTGTACCTACTGAATCTAAGTAGTATGCTAAATCAAATTTAAAAGAATTAATCTTTGAATTATTTAACAATGCAAGGAGATAACACAAAAACACCATTAATTTTTTCATATGCCCCATTGTCTTCTCACAACGTTGAAATGGCCGAGCTAACAAATAAAGTTGGTCGAAAAAATCCTTCAAGCTTGAGTTGATTTGTGGAAGTAATTTTCGCATTTTGTTGAACGAATATATGGGTCCCTCTTTTTGTACATGTTCTTTCTTGTAAAAAATTCTTGCCATTGCCTTTATAACTCCAATGAGGTTAATCATACGTATCTCTTCTTCATCAATAGGTTCTGCCTGTTGCTCGGCAGTGAAATCTGCTTCTTTTTAATCAGCACTTTCTAATTCTTCATTTATTGTGTTTTTTCTAATTATAGCTTCAATTTCTTCTCTAATTATAGCATCTTCTTCATTCTCATACATGACTTCTGCCTCTTCTTCTAATATAGCTCTACCAATTTGAGATTCTTCTGCTTCTCTTGTTTCTATTTTGTTCCCTATTTTTTCAACTGAGACTCTTACTCATTTAGTACCTTTCTTAATCCTTTGTAATGGATTTTCTACCAAATCCATATAACACTTATGACATAGCATAATACCATCTTTCCATGTTACCTTTACCAAGCCATTTCTTTCAGCCTCTCTCCATTTTTCATTCTTTAACGAACAGAATTTACAAGAATCAGAGGTACCACATTCTTCACATTGCTTGCTTTTAGACTTGGTTTTGTCAGACATATTGAACACGAAGGCTGTGGGATTAAGAGGGATTAAGAAAATATGTTATAGTACAGTATGAAGACTTCAACTTTACTTAGAACACTTTCTAGCACTTCTTAGAAAAGTTAGGTTACCCGAACTCCCTGAAAAAGTATTGTAAAACGTATAAAAAGATTTTCTTTGACACTTGTGTAACTATTCAGAATAATTACCTAATTTGGGATGTCTCCCCTGGAAAACTGCCTAAATTATATAATCTATTGTAGTCGGCTAAGTCAATTTTATCGACTAATGTGAAATCGACTACAAACACTACAAAACAGTGTAAAAAATGTGCTTATATATGAGGTGACTATAGAGAGGTTTGACTGTATAAGCGAAAATGAAAAACACAGAACTCAATGTATAACTATTACTTGTTAAAATGTACACTATTCAATTTTAAGAATAGGGCAATGGCCGGCAATTTTTTTTTAACGCAAATAATCAAATCGGCCAATCATATGTAAGCATTCTTATTGGACACAGTGAACGGTGTTAACCTGGATGTTACCTTCAAAACGAGGTTAACGGTTCAACTAATAACAGGGAGTCACGTGAGCACGGGGACACGAAAACCGTGCAATGGTATGTTACAGTTGTAAGTATGTGTTTTGAGCGATAGGGTTTATGTTTATAATGTATGATTCGGCAATTCGAAAGAGTACGTGTATGTTTTTAGAATCAAAATAAAGAGTGTCCTTTATTAAAACATGTATTAAGTATCTAATGCTATGGCAAGCATGCCTACAAAGGGGAGCGAAACTCGCCCGTATATATAATAAAATAACTACTAATAAGCACATATGCTCTTTGAGCTATTAATGTCCCAACCACTATAAATGTCCTTAATATCCCTTATACCTCTTATATCCCTTGATCTATTTAATTCCCTTGTGTTATAACCAGCACATGTGGCACATGGGGTACATTCGGCACATTCGGTACATTCGGTACATTCGGCGTAGTAAACCCGTGACTCATACCCTCGTGACATAATAGTTTAGGCCGGGGTTGGATTAGCAAGGGTAACAACGATAAGATCTATATCCAATCATATGTAAGCATTCCTATTGGACACAGTATAAATACGCCGAAAACATACAAATTTTCAAACAGTAGATCTAGAAAATGAGTGAACGGTAAGATCTATATACAAAAAGTCTTATTACTCTAACTTATAGTTATAATTAACCACGAAATCACTGTTTACTTTATAGCAAAGTTTTAAATAAATACTTTCCGCCAGATTTTGATCCAGGTTAGTAACGTCTTTTCTATTTTTTTTCTTTTTTTTTTTTTAGTTGTTACCATTAGTTACGCTAACAGAAATTATTTGATAAAATTCAATTAAAATTTTGGGTATATAGCCGGTAAGTTATTTGTTGCAATATCAAAATTAGTTACCTAAACCTAAACGAGTGATTTGATATAATAATGCTGAAATATTTTATTAGCGATTCCAAGGCGGAAACAAGCTAAAGATGCACAACATAAAGTAATAATTAAAGACAAATTTTCTATATAATTAAAATCATTATCGAAGAGTTATATAACTATATGTATATTTTTTAATTTTAAATAGGTCCGTCTTATGACACCATATGCTATGAGATGTGAAACATGTGGTGAATATATTTATAAAGGGAAAAAGTTTAACGCTCGTAAAGAAACAGTTGAAGGGGAAACTTATCTTTCAATTAAAATTTTTCGATTTTATATAAAATGTCCAAGATGTTCGGCGGAAATTACTTTTAAAACTGATCCTAAAAATACGGATTATATTGCTGAACATGGAGCTTCAAGAAATTTTGAACCTTGGAGAGAGGAACGGATCGCAGGAGAAGAAGAAAAATTACAAAAAGAATTAGAAGAAGAAAATAATCCAATGAAAGCTTTAGAAAATCGTACAATTGATTCGAAAAGAGAAATGGATATTTTAGATGCTTTGGATGAAATTAGAACAAGAAATGCTAGAAATGAACGTGTTGATGCTGATGCTTTATTAGATAAATTATTGGAATCTGATCAAATTATTGAGAAAAGTGAAAAAGAAAAGGAAGATGAAGAAGATGATATGTTGGCAAAAGCCATATTTAATACGGTTGATGGTGATAAAGTTAAAAGAGTTATTGATGATGAACCTGAACTTTCACAATTACTTTCAGAATCTGCAAAGTCATTTGTTATACCGAAATTTAATAGTACAGGCTCAACTAGCAACAGTAAAGGTATAGAGAGTAATAAACGAAAGAATCTGGGTTCCGAACTTGGAATTGTGATTAAAAAGAAAAAAACAGAAAATAATAATTCTCTGGGCTCTTTGTTGGGAGATTATGGTTCTTCTGAAGATTCTGAATAAATTAAAGCTTTTTATTCATCATTAATTTTTTTCGAAATTTTGGTAATTTTTAAAAAAATGGGTATAACTAGACTTTGTTTACGTATCACATTTGATGTAATTATAACAACATTAACGTTAAATACTGTAATAATATTGAAGGGGATTAACGTATCTTAGAACACATTCAATCATACACATCAAGAACGACTATAAATGTCTTAGGATGATGATGAATTGTGCTATCGCTATATGCACGAACTATGATATTGATATGTGGCCTGAAATAAAAATTTCACACTTGAAGCTGAGGCACTTGAGCTGAAGTGCGTAGCATTCTAGTTAAATTGGTAGGTTCACCATTATTTTTTTGTAATTATCCATTCGTAATAATACTTAAGATGATATGAAAAATTCGAATCTAGATAACTAATATTCAAGTTCTAAAAATGAAGAATTCTATGATTCTATATAAATCTATATAAATCTATATAAATCTATACTAAATTATAAAATAAAGATAATATTGATAATTAAAAATTATTTTACGCATCATTCAATGGAATGACTCCACTCGTTCTTAAAATAGATAATCCATGAAAGAAGTTACTAATATTAATTATATAAACAATAGAATTCGTAATAATAAATATATTACAATGAATTATCCCTTTTAATAAGAGTTGTGCGCTATTCCCATTTGCATTGTTCATAGATTGTAAATTGAGAGCCAAAGAGATAATTGGGAATATCAAGTAATAAATGGTTCTAAATAATTCTGTTTTAGCAAACATTTTGCTGTAATTGTAAATCCAATGAAAACTCTCGATAGAGGATTCATTATTGTTTAATTGTTGTGTCTGAAAAATTGAATAAGAATTGACCGGTACATTTGATGGCTGTTGAAGACTTTCCAAGTCCTTTTCGTACCTTTTTATTGAAACTCGATGTAAAACTTGTGTGAGGATGTTATGAGATGCCCGTCCTACCGAAAATATTATCATCGCTTGAAAGAATGGAGATGAAGATAAGTTATATTTCTCATCAACTATTTGTCTTTTATAGCCATAGGAAGAAAGAATAATAACTGAAATGTTGATTAGAAAACTAATTATAGGAGAGCAATCCTCATAACCCTTTTGCACCGATTTATCTAAGAAGGGTAAAAGTAATAAAAGCACACCCCCTAAAGATATAAAATACAGAAGGTAAATAGTTATATGAATAACTATATTTATCTCTTTTAGGATGAAATCATTAATTCCTTTAGTCCAAAAGGCATTTTCAATGTCTCTAAAGGCATGTATAACAAAAACTAGGAATATGGTCACATAGGTGATCGAAATTAAATAAGTAAAAGAGGTTGTAAAACAGTAACTTCTAACTTTCTTAAAAGGGTCGCTCATACTGAAGTTGTATATTTATAATATCTCAGATAAGTATACAGAGAATTTGAATCTTTTTTATTTGACTCCGTCAATTATATATTAAATTAAGCGAAATTTTATTAATTATTTGTGACATCTTATGCAAATATATTTTATGTAACAAATTCATTCTACCATTATTATTTATTCCAATTTTGTATACAACTTTGAATAGACACCAATAATATCAATACCGATATTAATAATAATAAATTTAGTATTTTTAAACAAGGTTAAGTATTCATTATACTTTTATATACGTAAAAATGCAAATCCCATATGTATATGTATTACAGCTTATGCAGTTATGTCAATGTTATATGGAATTGAATTTTAATATTAATAAACTTTACTATATGAAAGTTCTCTATAACAAGTAAGATTTGTATATGTAAAATTTTTTTAAAAAAAAAAACTTTGTAATTTTTTCAAGGTACTAAAATGAAATTAATGTGAGTACGTACGTACGTAGAAAATCATTTTGGTCAGAGTTTGTCGTTATGCAATGGTAAATTGTTCTACAATACGTAATAATTAGGAGGATACAATGGGAAAGTGATTGACAATATTTGTGTTTATTTCCGCGCCTGCAGATTTCATTCAATTTTCTCGTTATTATTATGATTATCTAATTAAAACTAGGATTTCGCACGGGGCCGTTTTATTTGCTCAAAAATTAGTGGTGCAAACGGCTGGTACCGCTCGGCTAACGGGTTCACTATAATGACGGGCCGTTCTTTAGCCGAGCCGACAAGTGCTGCGGCTACGACTTTATTATTAAATTCATTTCAAATTACTAAGTACTAGCCCTAACATGAAAAATTTATGCTAAAAATTTTATATGCAAAATTTATAACAGAAAAATATACAAAAACATATAATAGATGCAAAACCACTATAAGTGCGTTTTATAATAAATGTACAGTATTTATAAAAATTTTTTTTTTATTAAATTTAATTAAATAAAATAAGTTTTAGTATCTCTAGTATAAAATAAAAACTTATATAATTATAGAAAAGTACTAGACAGTACCTTATACACTTTGTGACTCTCTTTTAATATCTCAAAATTTTACTAGAGTAACCCTGTTGTATAATTAACCAAAAATCCTTTTCACACTAATTCTAACACTTACCTTTATCCTAATATTTTGCCTGTTTGACATTTAACATATAGGGTCTTTGCCTTGAAAATCGAGTTATGGAATATAGTAAATTATATATCCTGTACTTGATTTTCAAGGCAAAGATCCCATATATATAGAAAGCACAATGTGCATAAGGGCATTATTTAGATTCTTCTTCTAAAAAATTTTTATAAATAAACTACTAAAATTAAATCAAAATTAATTTAAATATTGATAATGTGTGTCTAACCCATCTTTCCCACTTCTGACACATCTCATTAGACATATGAATTATTAAATGGCACAAATCATAATGAAATCAAATTAAAATGAAACTGAGGATCTTTCTTGCTCATCTTTAAAGCTTATAAAACCCACTTATACTCTTTTATTAATAAAATTAACTCTAAAGCTAACTCTAACACTAACCCTAACCCTAAAAAATGTTCCCAAAAAATTTTAAATTTTCCTAAAAAAATAAAAAATTTTATTTTAATCTGATTTCATTTCAATCTACCATGCATATCATATGATAATCATCTCATTACACAGACATGTGAATATGCATGTTTTGTTATATTAAATAGACAAATTTGAAGGCATGTGCAAACAGACAAAAAATTCACAACTTATATTTCTGATATGATCTTTATAATATTTATGCAGATAAATCAAAAAGGTAAATCTTAGTAAAAAATAATTTTTGTATCACTTTATCTAATAATTAAAGATTCTTTGCTATACTTTGGATCAATAACCTAACTTGTAGCTAACTTGTATCCAAAAAATACATATAAGTATATTTGGACTCAGACCAGTTTGCAAACTTCAGGCCAGACCCAGACCAAACTTAGACTTGACTAAAAAATCTAAATATAAAAGTCTAAGTCTGGTTTGAAAATCAGACCAGACTTAGACTTGACTAAAGTTTGGTTCAGGTTTAGCACTATCCTGGTAACACTCATTTATTAACTACAACTTTTTTTTGCAGTGCCAAGATGCTAAGCATTGCATGTTAGGAGAGAAAATTAAACAATTAATAAATTTGATGATGTCAAAATAGGAAAAAAACTGGATGCTATAATCAAGATATTTTTTAATAATTAAATATTTGAAATTTGTTATATAGAGTACTTGAAAATTCAATGTAATTTAGAGAAAGAAACTAAGGATTCTGTAAAACTTTGGAGGGAACTAAATAATAGCATGTCTTGGGTATGGAAAGTATGTAAACCTCAAACCAACCAATTTGAAATCACAGGTATACAAGTATGTAGTAGGTTATGAATTTATGATTTTTTATAATATTTATATAGGCTATTACTTTTTAATTTTTCAGTAATATTAGTACAATTTCTTTGATCTCTAATAATGCTAAATGAATTTTTTAATTTTAGGAACAAAAATATGTTTAACATTCTTGTTTGCAATTCAAATGGATTAAATAAACACTTCTATATACAGGAAGCAGTAATTTTTTTGGTTTCTTGTGATACAAAAAATTGTTAGTTGTTACTTACATATAAGGTTTGTGTTAAAACTTTAGTATATTCATTATAGGTAGCTCTATTATATTAAAATTTAAAAATTTAATACAGTATTTTATAAAATTTAGAATATTCTTTTAGTGAATCTTACATTATTACGAAATGCTACAAGAATTTCATACAGGCACTGTTTAATAATATTAAGTACTACAGTAATAAGTTCGGAAAAAGAAAACAAAGATAAAGAAAATAAACAAAGCAAACCAAGAAAATGCAAAATTAAAATTGATTTATAATTAAGTTCATTGTAGTAGTGTTTCGCACTGATCAAATATATAAAAAATAAAAAAAGAATACAATATACAGCAATAATAATATTGTATATATTCTTATAATTTTTAAGAAAAAAAGATTGTTTTTGTTTAATAAAGCTCAAAAGCCTAATAGATTTATTAGATTAAACTTTAGGTAAAGTTTTTATATTAATAGATTTCGTAGTATAGTAATAATGGATCCAGTTTGAATTTGAAGGGTTCGATAAATTATAGATTTGCAAATCGAATCCGAATCTCAAATCTATTTGTAGAACACTAATAACTAGTCTATTAATAAAAATCCTATAAGATTTTTCTGTGAGATTAAGTCTGATAAGTTTTTGGTTAGTATTATTTATAAAAACTGTTTTTTGAGAAAATATTCAAAAAAATGTTTGTGTAGTACTAGGTTGGCATGTACATCTAGAGCTTGTACCTGTGTAAGAATTACTAGGTAACCCAGTAACTAAGTCATAGCTGACTTAGATTAATTATCCATAAATGTGATAATGCATGTGTGATTGGGGCTTCTGATATACTAATTAATCAAAACTATGTAAGGTATTGTAGTAAAATCCAAATAGCACAGACTTGTGCATAGATCGGCAAAATCATTAAATTTACTAGTAAAAACTAGTATCCAAAAATTAATATATTTCGCATACCAACTATTTTTCTCTGGCAATTTATATACAAAACAATTAGTTTAATATGTTAGAAGTTACAGTTTTAAATTTTCATTTACAAAGTATATTCTTAGCTTTTAATATATATTATAAGAAGTTCTTACTAACTTAATCTTTAAAAACATTTAATTAATTAAAAACTTTAACTTATAACTTTTTTCTAACATATTAAACTAATCATTTTGTGTATAAATTGCTTGAAAAAATAGTTTGTACACAAGATGTACCAATTTTTGGATATTTAGTTTTTATTAGTGAATTTAATGATTTTGTCGATCTATGTACAAATCTGTGCTATTGGATTTTACTATATAGTTTTGATTAATTAGTATATCAGAAACGACGTATCCATGATATAGATATCAGTCGATTGAAATATCATGTAAATTCCATGATTAAATTTTTTATTATCATTGGGAAACTAAATATAGTGCAGATCTGCGAAAATCTGTAACTATAAATTTTTTTAACAAAATTTGTAATATCTCGTGATTCAATGCTCCAAATTTAACGAAACAAGTACCATTAGATTCGCCTCGATGAGGCGGATCGGATGGTATTAAAATTATTAAATTTAGATTATTGGAACGTGAGATAATCGCATTTAAGTGGATATTACGACCACCTCACGAACTCGCTAACCAGTGGTCTAAAAATGATGATTTTGGTACTATTCGATTCCTCTTGATGAGATGATTCGAATATATCAAAAACGTTAAAATCCAATCACTAGGTGTTGAGATATTCGCAAAATACGTTTCGTGACGCAGTTCTGTGCAGAAAAAAATTGCAGAACTGCGCAGAACTACGCCACAAAACGTATTTTGAAAATATCTCGACTCTTAGTAATTTGATTTTAACGTTTTTGATACCATTCGAATCATCTCATCAAGAGGAATCGAATGGTACCAAAATCATCATTTTTGGACCACTGGTTAGCGAGTTTGTGAGGTGGTTGTAATATTTACTTAAATGCGATTATCTCATGTTCCAGTGATTGAAATTTAATGATTTTGGTACCATCTGATCCGTCTTATCGAGGCAAATCGAATGTACTTGTTTCGTTAAATTCGGAGTATTGGATCATGAGATATCGCAAATTTTGTTAAAACATTCTATGGTCGCAGATCTGCACCATATTTAGTTTCCTGATGATGAAATTTGAGTGATCGACACTCATATGAAATTTTCAATTTTCATAGTAAATTGCAACGGTAGACCAGATTCAATTATTGTTTTCAGGGGTTTTATAAAAGAAAATTGTGTTCTGGACACTGTGAAATGATTCAACAAGGTAAATAATTTATTATTCTTATATTTAAAGTAAGAATAATAGCAAACTCAAAAAGAATC